CAAGAAACATGGTTCAGCATCTGCTTCTAGCGAGGGCTTCAGGCTACTTCCACTCATGGTAGAAGGCAAATCAGAGAAGGCATGTGCAGAGGACATGTGGTAAGAAAGGAAGCAAGAAGGTGAGCGAAGGGGCAGGCTCTTTTTAACAACCAGCTCTCATAAAAATGAAAAAACTTATAACTCGTGACCCCCCAACTCCCAAGGGAGAGGAGTGATTCATTCACGAGTGATCTATACCATGACCCAAACACTGGCCATTAGGCCTCACTTCCAGCATTGAGAATCAAATTTATTTTTCTTTTCTTTCTTTTTTTTGAGACAAAGTCTTATTCTGCTGCTCAGGCTGGAGTGCAGTGGCGTGATCTCAGCTCACTGCAACCTCCACCTCCCAGGATCAAGCAATCAGCCTCCTGAGTAGCTGGGATTACAGGTGCATGCTACCAGGCCTGGCAAATTTTTGTATTTTTAGTAGAGACAGGGTTTCACCAGATTGGTCAGGCTGGTCTCGAACTCCTGACCTTGTGATCTGCCTGCCTCAGCCTCCCAAAATGCTGGCATTACAGACGTGAGCCACCACACCCAGCCGGGAATCAAATTTCAACATGAGATTTGGTTAGGACAAATATTCAAACTACAGAAGTTGGTTATATGAATTTATCACATGAATCTATACATGTAATAATATTTCATATACCACTCCACCCCCACAAAAACATGCAGGTTGAACCTAGTAAAATCAAACTCTGTACTTGAGTTAATAATATCATACCAACATCTATTTCCCAGTTTTGACAATGTACTATGATTATGTAAGGTATATTATTGTGGGAAGCTGGATGAAGGTACATTGTAACTGTACCATTTTTGTAACTTCTTATGAGTCTTAACTATTTGAAAACGACAAGACATACAAAACAAAGAAAAATATTAAAAAATGCTTAAAGTAATATGTCATGATTGCTTATCTTTAACGAATCTTTTCAATTAACAGACCAACTACTATTACATATTGATCAGCCAATACAGTAATTACTGTGATAATAAAACAGTATTTGTTATGATGAGAACTCACAGACACAAAGGCAACAATGGACACCAGAGCCCACTTGAGGGTGGAGGGTGGGAGGAAGGAAAGGGGCAGAAAAGATAACTATTGGGTACTAGACTTAGTACCTGAGTGACGAAATAATCTATATAACCAACCCCCATAGCACAAGTTTATCTATATGACAAACTTGCACATGTACCCCCAAACCCAAAACAGAAGTTAAATATAATAAAAGGACAATATACACCAAATCAGGGCGGAAAACAAAAAAACAAGCAAACAAAAAAACCAGTATTGGTTATCTGTAGACATTTTAAGGAAAATGATAAGCGTTAAAGGTGTAGTGCATATAAATAAAATTGTCTTTTAAAAAAAAAGTAGAGGGAGGAAAGGCCTGGTGGCTCACACCTGTAATCCCAGCACCCTGGGAGGCTGAGGAGGGCAGATCACCTGCGGTCAGGAGTTTGAGACCAGCCTGGCCAAGATGGTGAAACCCCATCTCTACTAACAATACAAAAATTAGCCAGGCATGGTGGCACATGCCTGTAGTCCTGGCTACTCAGGAGGCTGAGGCAGGAGAATCACTTGAACCTGGAAGGCGAAGGTTGCAGTGAAACGAGATTGCACCATTGCACTCCAGCCTGGGTGACAGGGCAAGACTCCATCTCAAAAAAATAAAAATAAAATAATTTAAAAAGCAGAGGAGGCCAGGTGTGGCAGCTCACACCTGTAATTCCAGAACTCTGGGAAACTGAGGCAGGAAGATCACCTGAGCCCAGGTGTTTGAGGCTACAATGAGTTTTGATTGCACCATTGCACTCCCACCTGTAAAACAGAGCAAGATCCTGTCTCTTTAAATAATAAGCATAATAAATTTAAAAAGCAGAGGGAAATATGAGAGGAATAGAGGGAGAGAGGGACTCGATAAAAATTAAAAATAGATTGGGTTACATTTATAAACTAAACATGAAGGCCTGTCATGGTAGCTATCTGCATCTGCTCCCTAACTCCCAAACAAGTACCCTCAAGATCTGCAGAAAAGAGAAGAAAGAAAAGAAAGAAACCAGTTAAAGCAAAATATAGAACGAAGGTTATGTCACGGACTGTACTGGCTAATATGATAGCCACTTAAAATTAAATGAAATTTATAAATCAGTTCCTGGGCCAGGTGCGATGGCTCATGCCTATAATCCCAGCACTTCAGGAGGCCAAAGAAGGTGGATCCCTTGAGATCAGGAGTTCAAGACCAGTCTGGCTAACATTGTGAAACCCTGTCTCTACGAAAAACACAAAAAGAAATTAGCCAGGTATGGTGGCAGGCGCCTGTATTCCCAGCTACTTGGGAGGCTGAGGCAGGAGAATTGCTTGAACCTGGGAGGCAAAGGTTGCAGTGAGTCAAGATGGCGCTACTGCACTCCAGCTGGGGTGACAGAGTGAGACTCCATCTCAAAACATAAAATAAAATTCAGTTCCTTATTTGCTCTGGCAACAATCCAAGTGCTCTATAGCTACATGTAGCTAGTGGTTACCATATAAAACAGTACGGATACAAAACACTGCTATCATCAGTGCTGCTTGAAGAAGAAAAAGGGCTATGATCAGGAAAGGACGCACAGCATGTTTCTAAGGTAGAAATATGCCATTTCTTAACCTAGATGGAGGCCAGCGATGTTTGATTATTCTTCCCTGATTTCTTAATATGTTTTTATAGTCTTCTGGAATATACATATAGCAAGACAAAATAAACAAAATCAAAATATAGATTTCTGTAGATAACATGATGGTATACCCAGACAATCCAAACAACCAATTCAAGTTTCCTGGCAATAAATAAAAAATTGTGCATATGAAACAAATCTACAAAGCCAACTTTTGATTTTACATTAGAACAATATGAGAAAATTATTTCAATCATAATCCAAAAGGTATGAAATTAATTTCATACTTTTATTTTTACATTTTTTAATTTATTTTTTATTTTCTATTTATTATTTATTTCATCAAACCAAACTTTAAAGAAGCAGACAGACCCCAAAACAGACAGAAGCTGAGACTAAATAAGACTTGTGAATCCCAGACCAAATCAGTCCATTTACAAAACTGACAGAGTGACATCAATGTCTTATTTTATTGTTAAATGAAGTTTGGTCTAAAACTGCCTCTGTACATGTTTTACAACTGGCCTAGAGGTTTCTCCATACATAATGATGGTAACCTAATTTTATGTGTAGACTGTAAACTACTCTCGTAACAAATAGCCAAGTTGCAACCAACCACAGGCAACCAACTGTCCAAAACAGATTCAAATAAGGCAAATGCCCAGCTGTAACCAATCCAGCTGTTTCTGTACTTCACTACATTTTCTGTACTCATTTTACTTTTTTTTTTTTTTTTTTTTTTGAGACAGAGTTTCACTCTTGGTACCCAAGCTGGAGTGCAATGGCGCGATCTCAGCTCACTGCAACCTCTGCCTCCTGGGTTCAGGCAATTCTCCTGCCTCAGCCTCCTGAGTAGCTGGGATTACAGGCATGCGCCACCGTGCCCAGCTAATTTTTTGTATTTTTAGTAGAGATGGGGTTTCACCACGTTGACCAGGATGGTCTCGATCTCTTGACCTCATGATCCACCCGCTTTGGCCTCCCAAAGTGCTGGGATTACAGGCTTGAGCCACCACGCCTGGCTTCATTTTACTTTTTACGTTCATACATGTTATCCAACCATGTGGTAGTGCCAGAGTCACTCTGACATATTTTCATTCTGGGGGGCCACATGATTCATGAATCATTCTTTGCTCAACTCATCTCTGTTAAATTGTTTGCCTAATGTTTTCTTTTTAACAAACGTAAAAGCCCTATCACAAATAGAGGCTGTGGTAAAGGGAACTGGGAGGAAATTCACTGAAGATACAGCCTAGAGAATAGCTGGGCAGGAGAGAACTAGGGGGAAAAGCTACCTGAAAGACCTGACATCAGAATAATGATCAATCACTGACTTCAGAAACGATTCCATTTTAGAAGCCACAATTTGATTAAATTTGTTAGTCCAGATATTTATGCCCCAATGATATTGTTATAAAAATAAAGTAACTGGCCTGCAATTAGTGAAGTTCAACAGCTAGAAGTGGCCAAGGAAAGGGCAGAAGTGAGCCTTACTGGTACCACTATCACCACAGAGTAATTGTGGTCATACCCAAAGATGCATCTCCATGAAGAGCAACAACAGAGTCTTAACACCGTGTCTATGGTTGTCAGGGGTGGATAAGAATGGAATAGATTTCACTACAATGATCCTGTCAGCCACTAAACAAAAAATAACAAGCACTCGAAGGGGGAGACCAATTCCCAGAGTTGCTGTAAGGTATTACCTAAAATGCCCAGTTTCCAACAAAAAAATCATGAGGCATGCAAAGAAACAGGAAAGTATGACCCATACATAGGGGGTAAAACATAGGCAACAGAAACTGCCTGTGAGAGTGACCAGATATTGGATCTAACAGAAAAAGATTTCAAAGTAGACATTATAGATATGTTTTCAGAACTAAAGGAGAGCTTGATTAAACAAGTAAAAGAAAATGTGATGACAGTGTTGCATCAAATAGAGAATATCAATGAAGAGAACTAAGTGGAAAATTGGGAGTTGAAAAGTACAATAACTGAAACAGAATTATAGTATGTAGAAAGGGTCTCATACTGCAAAAATGACCCCTAATCTCAAAGGGTCAGCTTGTGTTCTTACTATAAAACCAATCTAAATCTCCCTCTAATGTACATTTTTTAAAGCCACAAATTTCAACAATAAAATTTATTGTCATTCTATAATCTAATCATTAAATATATATGGCACTTCTTAGATAATATCCATTAGGATACATAATTAGCATTATTTTAAAAGTGTGATACTATAAATACCAGGGTAATTATCAACTATTTGATAATAATACAAAAAATCTTACTGGTCTGACGTCACCACAGGAATTGGTAAATTGTCGAGCCAAGCCAAAATCAAGCATGTAACATTTCCTACATGTACTAGGAAAGCGACCCATAGCGAAGTTCGACTAGAAAAATAAGGAAGGAAAATATACACATTCTTATAATACTTAGTCTTTACATTTTACTATTCCTACATTTTAAGTCTTCTTCTAGTTAAGCTCTATATAACACACATGTTCCAAATATACTATTATCGTCAATGACATTTAGTAGGTATTAAAATATGATTTCGTTTTGGGTTCTATTAATGCCTAATATCAGGTAAACTGTGAGCAAAAAAAAAATGTAAGTGACTAAGGTTACACACACGACAACATTAACTAGACTTGGAACTCTAAGTTCTTGAAATTCTAGTCTAAGTTAATGCCCAACCCCTACTTAAAAAAAAAAAATAGAAATTTTAAAGAATTTCCTGTAAGCATCATAAAGCTGAATTTCACTAAGTCCAAAATTAAAATACAATTTATAAAAACATTTCAAAACAGACTTAAGAAAAATATACTTTGTATTCTTTCCCTAATGAAAATCAATGTAATATTAAATGACCACAAATGCAAACATGAGTATGTAAGTAAGAGGACTTGTCGAGGTAAAAGCAAAATTGTTACCAAAATTGTCATTTAAAAAAAATATATTATTCGGCCGGGCGTGGTGGCTCAAGCCTGTAATCCCAGCACTTGGGAGGCCGAGGCGGGTGGATCACGAGGTCAACAGATCGAGACCATCTTGGTCAACATGGTGAAACCCCGTCTCTACTAAAATTACAAAAAATTAGCTGGGCACGGTGGTGCGTGCCTGTAATCCCAGCTGCTCGGGAGGCTGAGGCAGGAGAATTGCCTGAACCCAGGAGGCGGAGGTTGCGGTGAGCCAAGATTGCGCCATTGCACTCCAGCCTGGGTAACAAGAGCGAAACTCCGTCTCAAAAAAAAAAAAAAAATATATATATATATATATATTATTCTACTTAGAGAGCTTTCTGATAAAAAACAGAAACTCTTCCAATCACCATGGTTCTCAAATAATGATGCATTTTCATGTAAACTAATTTTAGAAGTCATGTAACAACAGATGGTTATACTTTTCAACTGTACCAACATATGATAAGTTTATAGTAAATACAGTATGTCGGAAATGGGTCATTTCACCTAATGAATGTTTCAGTGTTTGATTAAACACTGAAAAGGACAGAAAACCCTATTTCACAGTTATGGAAATGGCTATTTCTAAGAAAAACAGATTAGCAAATAAAAACCCAACTATATTTCCATAGCAGCACTCAGGAGAAAAATAAGGTCCTTCACAGCTGATGATTTCTTATAAATAGAACTTTTGACTTAACAAATACTTCAAGAACACAGTATGAACAACTGAAAGCAACATATATAATTTTTTAACTAATATATAATAAAAGAAACCAGGGAATAATGCCAATTTAGGCAAAAGGCTAAGTAACTTGCAATGTTAACACACATAAAGTCAAACATAAAGCTAAGAGACAGGGTCTCACTATGCTGCCCAGGCTGGAGTGCAGTGGCTATACACAGGAGGGATCATAGCTTACTCTAGCCTCCATCTCCTGCACTCGAGAAATCATCCTGCTTTAGCCGCCTGAGTAGCTGGGATTATGGGCATGTATTACTGACCCAGTCTCATTTTTTATTTTCATTGTATGAGAAAAATTCCTGAAAACAAGTTGTAGTTTGCAATTATCACTTAAAAAATTAAGAAGTAAGTTGTACTTTTGCTTCCAGGTCTTACTATAGAAATGAAAATATTACCTTGTGTCTAACCACCGCAAATACACAAAGCTACATTTGTAATTTATTGTGTCCCATCATAACATTAAGAGTATCAAACTCATTCTGTGCTCTGGATAGAAAAGGCCCCTACCGGTTTGATGTCTCGGTGCAAGAATCCCACAGAATGAATGCTTTCTATAGACTCCAATATCTGTCTACCCAGCCGGAGAGTAGTACTGATGGTGAATGTGCCTCGGGACTGGCTACGGCGAAGATCTGCCAGATTACGACCCTGTGGAAATCAAACAAACACTTTCAAATACAGTACTAAAACTACGTTATAAGAGAAGCCGGAGAAATCACTCACTTGCCATTGAAAAAGGTTTTTAGTAAAACAGCAATAATTTTTGTTTCTTTTTTTGAGATGGAGTTTTACTCCTGTTGTCTAAGCTGAAATGCAATGGCGAAATCTCAGCTCACTGCAACCTCTGCCTCCTAGGTTCAAGTGATACTCCTGCCTCAGCCTCCTGAGTAGCTGGGATTACAGGTGTGTGCCACCATGCCCAGCAACTTTTTGTATTTTTAGTAGAGATGGAGTTTCACCACGTTGGTCAGGCTGGTCTTGAACTGCTGACTTCAGGTGATCCATCCACCTCAGCCTCCCAAAATACTGGGATTACAGATGTGAACTACCACACCCAGCCAACAGCAATAATTTTACTCAAATTGTGATCCTCTCACTCAACAGATGTCTTAACCATATGAATGTTTCAGACAAGTTTTAGAATAACCAGTTTTTTAGCATGTTTCTGATTCATGTTTCCCTTTATCTCTGATGTCATAAGAAAAAAGTCTTGATTATTCAAAATGTAATCAAATGTGTAATTAATATACATAAATTTCTATTTATTTAAAATATGTGATCAAATATATATAATGTACACACACACACACACACAAATTCCTCATTACTGCCTAATATATATTCTCATACAAGCTACTTAACCTTCCTGAATCAGTTTCCTCATAAAAACAAGCTAATAATATCTACCTCACAGAGCTCTATAAAGCTTTTTTTTTGTGTTTTTAATTTTTTAAAATAGAGATGGAGTCTCACTATGTTGACCAGGCTGGTCTCAAACTCCTTGCCTCAAGTGATTCTCCCATCTCGGCCTCCTGACATGGTGAAATTGCAGGTGTGAGCCAAGGTGCCTGGGCCATATAAAGTTTTTAGAATACTCTGGTACACAATAGGTACTCAACAAATGCTAACTATTGTTATTATGACCAAACATTATATGACAAACATTTAATTTACTTGTAGAAGTATAAAAAAGGAATGAATACATCCAGCCTCTGCCATTAATGACTGCATTGATGCCTCACAGTACCCCAAATAGAAGCTGTTCCTGTGCCTGTTTTACAGATAAGAAAACTGAGACTCAAAGAGGTTATATAATGTTAAACTGTTAATGTAAAGCTGTTTTTCAAATCTAACTCTGTCTGACTTTAAAGTGTTCTTTTACAGTCTTCTTTCACAGAACTTTTTACAGGCTTTTTTGTGGTGCTGCTCCACCAAAGTTCCCTGTTGCTTAGGAAACAAACCAGTAGTCTGAAAAGGAGAGCAGAAAAGAGCAAGACCATGCAGTACTACCTCCCAAAGAAAAGACTGGCTCTCCGATCACAAGGGGATTTAAATATCCCCATCTCTCTATTCCCAAATTTTATAATATATGTTTAGGGGTACCATGGCACTAATACCATCACTTCATTTAAAGATAACAGATTCACTTTTGAAAAGTAATAAATTCTTAGATTAATATCATTCAAAATAAAATACAAAGTACTCCTCAAGCAACCTAACAGTTTAAAAATTGCAGTAAAGTCAGGATCCTTTCATATTTTATACCTTCTTTTTTAAATGTAGCTTTCTCATAATATAAATTAGTTGGGATTTATCTTAGTTATTATTTTTAATGGTGAGGAATTTGTTGTTTCCCACACTCCTAGAAAATGTAAAATAAGTGGCCATCTACAACAGTAAATTGTATAAACATGTGAGAGTACCTAATAACTTTTATTAGTATTCCAATAGTTCTTTTCTTCAAAAACCCAAATTTTGATTGCTGAAAATATGCCTAAGATAATATTGAAACTTTATTTGTAAACAGCTTTCACCACAAAAACTTTCAAAAGGAAATCAATTAAATTTGATTTATGACATTAGTAATACTTTAAAAGATTTAAATATTTTAAAATATAAGCCTAACATATCAACTCACAAAATCAGAGGAGGTAAATACAAGACTGATAAGAGTATGGGGTAAAGTGTTATTAACATGGTAAAAACATGCAAGTACCCACTAAATTATACTTTAAAGTAAATACTACCAATGAATTATTATTTGTTACACAGAAAAATTGTGAACAATCTATGGTTATACATGGTTTTACTTTATCCATGGTTTTACTTCACTGGTTCCAGTTACCCACAATGAACCATGGTCTGAAAATATTAAATGGAAAATGCCAGAAATAAACAGTTAATAAGATTTACATTACAGGCCATTCTGAGTAGTGTGATGAAATCTCACACCATCCTGCTCCATCAGGCCCAGGACGTGAATCATCCCTTCAGTCCAGTATATCCACATGTTGTTACCTGCCCATTAATCACTTAGTGGCCCAATCAGTTACCAGATGTCCAGGGTTCAGTATGATCTGTGGTTTTAGGCATCCACTTGGAGCCTTAAAAAGTATCTCCTCAGATTAGGGGATACTATCATAAGGACATCAACAAATGAATAGTCACATAAATAATGGTACAGTCATCCTACTGTCAATCAAAAAATGAAGAATCAAGAACTTAGGAACACAAAGAAGAAACATCAAATACTAGTGTCTACTGGAGGGGGAGGATGGAAGGAGGGAGGAGAGCAGAAAAGATAACTATTGGTTACTGAGCTTAATTCCTGAGTAACATAATATTATGTACAAAAAAAACCCATGACACATTTATCTAGATAACAAACCTTCAAATATATCTTCAAACCAACAATAAAAAATTTTTGAATAAAATATATCACAAGCCACCACAGTTTGCTTAAAAAAGGAAAAAGAAATATATAGTAATGTGGAATGAATAAAAGAAGTTCATTTCTCTATAAATTTATAAGATCTCAATAAAAATGCAAATGAGTTTCTAAATTGAAGATATGAAACACACCCAAAAGGAGACAAAATAATATAATGAACCTTCATGTATCTACTAGTCACTCAGAATTAAAAATTATCAATTCATGACCAATCTTGTTTCATCTACTATTCACCTCCCCATCCATATCCTCTCCCCTTCCACCCACACATACTGAATTATTTTCATGTAAATTCTAATCATACAATTTCATCTATATACATTAAAAAGTGTAGGTCCGGTGTGGTGGCTCACATCTATAATCCCAACACTTTGGGAATCCAAGGCAGGAGGATCACTTGACCCTAGGAGTTCAAGACCAGCCTGGGCAACATTCTGAGACCTCATCTATACAAAGTGTTAAAAAAATTAGCTGGGTATGGTGGCACACACTTGTAGTCCCAGCTACTCAGGAAGGTGAGGTGAGGGTCACTTGATTCCAGGAGGTAGAGGCCACCACTGTGCTCCAGCCAGGACAAGACCTCGTCTCACCAAAAAAAAAAAAAAAAAAAAAGTGTATAAAAGGAGAGAGATAAAAATATAAGAAGTTATTAGCAATTATATCATTGTAGATTTGAATTAGAAACGTCAGTATGAACCATGGCATAATTTCTCATTCTTTTTTAATGTATTTCTTAAATCCACCCACTTGAAAAGAATTAAAAATGACCAACCCAATTTCAACAGACACCCATATCATCTAGACTTTGGTCTCTAAACATCATTTCCTGTTACAAGAAACCAAGGTTTAATGGAGCAATGAATGAATGGGTGATTTCAGATCTGGAGTATAAAACATACAGAATAAGCCTGGTACATAGAGTTGCACCAAAAAATAAGAATGCTATCAAAGACTGTTGCAGCCTAGTCCTTACAAAATGAATCCAGATCCAACTTGAAGGAGGCCTTTGTAGCAAAAGATGAGACAATTTTAATATTTAAAAATCTGTAGGCCACGCACAGTGGCTAACGCCTGTAGTCCCAGCACTTTGGGAGGCCAAGGCAGGTGGATCACTTGAGGCTAAAAGTTCAAGACTAGCCTGGCCAACATAGAGAAACCTCATCTCTACCAAAAATACAAAAATTAGCCAGGTATGGTGGTGTATGCCTATAATCCCAGCTACTCAGGAGGCTGAGGTAGGAGAATTGCTTGAACCCACCACGTGGAAGTTGCAGTGAGCCAAGATCATACCACTGCACTCCAGCCTGGGCTACAGAGTAAGATTCTGTCTCAAAAAAAAAAAAAAACTGCTATAATTGAAAGACATCAAACATGTTAAATCCATGAATTTATAGATTTATTATATAGTTATTTATTTATTATATGTTTATATTAGGGAAACAATTCATTATTCTAAAAGCTGATAAAATATTCAAGTTGTAGTCCTAGCTTCCTATATAAAATATACTTGACAACAACCTAATAGTGAATGCAGGGCTTTTAAAGAATTCTAGCTAATAAAAGAAGGAAAAAAATGATAGAACACTGTATTTGCAACCCCCATTAAAATAATGGATGATCACTACATATGGATTGATTAAACCATTAGGAGAAAAACCACTGGTAACTTTAGAATGGATGGACTAGGTTGACAATGCCTGCACCGACTGACCAATCTTAACATCACTAAAAGGGAGACAACCAGATACTGCCTCCTGATGTGATGCAACAGGAAGCATACAACCCACCTCTAAAGTATCCTGGCAAAGTAAAAGAAAACTGGAATCTTATATCATCATCAATTTATAGAAAATACAGGTGACAGAAATACATATTAAAGACGAAAGGGAAAAAAACCAGCAAAATCCAGAATATGGTAACTTGTACATATCAAATTCCTCTATTTTTATCAATAACAATAAACACAACAAAAAGAAAATTGCAAGAAAATAAAACACAGAGAGAGAGCCAATAGATTAAAAGAGGCTTAAGAGATAAGCAATGTGTGAACCCTATTTGGAACCCAATTCAAATAAACCGAATGTAAAAAAAGAAAAAGTTACTAAAGAGATGGACAATCAAGGAAATCTGAAGACTGGTTTAATATTTATGCTATTACTAAGGAATTATTATTAGGTATTGTGGTTAACTTAAGAGA